TCCCGAACGACATACATCTCTCCTCCTCTCTCTCTCTCTCTCTCTCTAAAATGCATCGCCAAAAATCGATTGATTCATTTTTTAGCAAACCCTCGCCGGGAAATGAGAATTCCGGCGGGTCTACTTACGCCGAGATGCTTATCCGGCGGCGGAAAATGCAGTTCTCTACTAACCGAGTGAAGCAAACCTCAGCTGTTGCAGAGGTGTCTAGGGTTTCAAATGCGAGGGAGTTGCCATTTGTGGAAACAAAGGGTACAGATACGCCACCTGAGAAATTGCACGCTCGGCCTGTTAATTTATCAGTGAACGGAAAGAGTGATTCTATGCCTTTTGGGAATTTGATGCAAAAGTTTGTAGTGGAAGGTGAACCAGAAGTCGATGGAAAAGGGTAAATGTCATCAAACCTTTATTTTTAAGTCATTTATGCTTTATTTTTTGTTTCTTTGTGTTTTGATTAACTTTTTGTTTGGATTGATGCAAGCTTGAATATCTTGTTCACTTATTGTTTTATTAAGCGGATATTTTTCTTTTAAATTTAGTTTTTTGTTGTTTTAATCCAGAATGTGCCAGTTTTAGCTACGGATTACAACCGTTTATGTTTTTCCTTTAATTTATTTATCATCTGTGATTGATTGGATTATTGTAATAGTGTTGCCTTCATATGATATTGTGGTTTTTCCCTTGTAGTTTATTTTGTTTGGCATTTCATTTTTTGGCATTAAATTTAGAATCAAATTCAGAGAGTCTCTGTAGCTTACTTTTATCAATAGTCGGGTGTTTCTATGCAATGGCACCGTGTTCATATGATTTTGGTTCGTCTATGTAGCTTACTTTTATCAATAAAACACCAAATACAGTTTCTATTCTTCTGATGAATTGGCAGGATACTACAATTTATCAAGAAATGGCACAAAAAAAGAAAGAAGAAGAAGAAGAAGAATAAGAAGAAGATGATATCTTTCTTAACTGTTACTTATTGGCTATTGCAGGAAACAGATGGGAAAAGGTACTGTTAGTTCAAATCCAAAATTGCAACCAACTTTTGATGATGATATTGGTTTATCAAAGCAGAGAACTCCCTTTAGGCCCCCATTGAAGATTGGAGCTACTAATTTATGTGCTAGTATTAAAAATGGTGGTTCTCAAACTACTGAAACTTACCCTGAAGGCATAGAGACTCCACCAGAAAAATTGCAGGCACGGCCTCGTTCCAGCAGGTTCTTTAAAAAGGAAGAAAGTAATTCTGTGTCTTTTGAAAGCTTAATGGGCAAGTTTGTCGTGGAAGATGAACCAGAAGGGGATGAAAAAAGGTATCTTGGGAGTAAACCTTGTTTTTATTGTAATTCATGCTTTATTTTATTTAGAGAAATTTAACAAAATACTAAACCTTTCAACATTTACCCATCTGCAACTACTCTAACTCAAGACCATGTCCTTTTTATCTGTATTTTGAAATTAAATAAAAATATATCGGTAAAGTGTTTGTTCATGTACTTTTGTCAAGAAAATAAAAAACGTTAAATTGTTCATCTCTATAGAATTTCATAATTTTCCTTTTTTCTTGTTTCTTTGATATTTGTTTTTGCATGATCTGGTGTTAATTACATGTGCTGTTTATTCTGATAAGGCATGGAGTATTGTCACATATATCTGTCTGATTTATGTTTCATTCTAGTTCATACTGTTTTGTTATTTTCTTATTTCATTATTTAGCCTGAAACTGAAACTGACTTCAGTGTGTACTTCTATTTAACCAAGTGCTTCCATATTACTGTTTTCTCATGATTTTCTTCCTTATTGTAACCTATCTTAAGTTACTAATATTGTTTTGGAGTATACTATGAGACCATTTATTTTTTGTACAAGGTGGTCACAATTAATCTTCACCATTGGATGTGAAATTAGACGGCTTGAATTTATTCGATTGACCAAGCTCAAACTTCAAAGGAAATTTTCTTGAACATTGTGACACATCCAACCTATTAGATTTCACATCGGATGGTTGTAAGTAATTGTGACCTCCTTGTATCAAAGGTAAATGGTCTCATTGTATACAATCCCTATTGTTTTTCATTCTTTTTATACCAATATGGGTTAATGCTAGGGGAAAAACTAAAATGTCGACTAAAGTTTAAGTTCTTATAATTATGCTCTCTTTAATTGTTTTGGACTTGGATTAGTGTTTGATATTTCTTTTCCAGTGTGGGTTTTTGCTAGGGAAAAAACAGAAATTTTGGCTAAAGTACTGAAGCTGTATCCAATTTCATTCAGGTAATAGATAAACAAATAATGAATATGAGAAAATGAATGAGTATTCGGAAGTTAAATGTAACAGCTGTCGAAATTATGTGCCAAACAGATCAAAATTTGGCTGGCTACAGTAGCTCTATTTTTTTGTTATTGAAACAATTGTGTCTAGCACATAGGACTCTTTGACTGCACAATATAGTGTTTTACTGTGCTTCTTTAACTCAACATTGTGTAATTTAGAATGTGCTTGAGATTATGTCCTTCGCTTCTCAATGATAAGGTGATTGAGTTATTTTATTTTTAATGAGTTTTTTATTTTTTCTGATGAATTAATCAAGAACTTTATTATTTATATGAAGGGAGAGATCATAATTTTCTACTTGCCTCTTTGCAGGAAGCAATGTCAACAGGGTACTACTTGTTCAAATCTGAAATTAGAACCAACTTTCGATAAGGATGCTGGCTTTCGAAATCTGACAAACCCCTTTAGGCCTCTTTTAAAGAATGATGCTGTTGAGTTTAGTGCTGGCCTTGAAAATGGAGGTTCTCAAAGTATTGAAACTGTACGTGAGGTTTCAGGGCCAGAAACACCAGCTATGCGGCCACTAGTTCCCCGCTTGAAAAGAATCCAAGAGGAACAGTGTAACTTCAATGACATGCTTAGAGATTCTTTGACGTTTGGCTTAAACAAAAAACAAAAAATGGTTAATGATTTAGACTTAGGGCCAGGCATTGGTAGTTACTGTGGAGCATCTGAAAATATAGGCAGTAAGTTTGAATGGCTCAACCCATCATCGATAAGGGACTCAAATAAAAGAAGACCAGGTGATCCCCTTTATGATAAGCGGACCCTCTACATACCTCCTGATGCCTTAAATAAGATGTCT